AAGAAAGAAAGAAAGAAAGAAAGAAAGAAAGAAAGAAAGAAAGAAAGGAAGGAAGGAAGGAAGGAAGGAAGGAAGGAAGGAAGGAAGGAAGGAAAAAATCAAAACAAAGACTTTGGATGCAAACATAAACAAAAACATTAGCTCTGGAGAAGAGGCTAGTGAAGACTTGGCATTGCAGTTTTGTGACCTGCACATACCAGCCTCAGGTCCTGATCCTCTCAGGTTGCTACAACAAAATACCACAGCCTGGCCAGCTTATAAACAACAGAAATTTTTTTCTCACAGTTCTGAAAGCTGGCAAATTGCAAGATCAAGTTCCCTGACAGATGCAGTCTGACAAAGGCCTGGGCTTTGGTTCACAGGCTTCTTCTCTCCTCATCCTCCATATCTTCACACATCACTGGGGGGAGGGGGGTATTGTCTCGGGACTTCGAAGTGCAGACGCCATTTGGAAGGGTTCTGTCTTCAAGATCAAGCACTTTTCAAGGTCTTACCCTTTAATACTAACAGCCTGAGGATTAGAATGTCAACCTTTGTTTAAGTGATGCGACAAAACAGTCCAGGCCAGACTTTCACCTTGAGAAACTCAGTTACTGGGCAACTTTGTACATTCCCTTGGCACCTTCACCTTCTATTTAGTAAGGTAGCTTCTCTCTCTCTCTCTACAGAGACAAAGCCTTTAGCCATCATGTTTCTCAAGGGCTCTCAGAGCTTAGAACTATGCCTGTACATAGAAGGTGTGTAACATGTCTCTTACGATGGGAGAAGGGTTAAAAGACTGACGACTGAGTTCCAGCCCTAAAGGTTGACTTAAAGGGAAGTAGAGCCCAGGGATTTGCATTTCCAGCCAACATCCATTTTATCCCAAGACAGAGAGTACGCAATTCACATTTTAATATACACTGGCCAACACCCTCCACCTCCAGCTGGCAATGTCCCCTCTAAAAGACCCAATTTAAGCCTGTATCTTGTCCCAGGTGTGGGGTGCTTTAGTTACTCTGGTGATCTCTGAATTTGGAGTTCAAAAACCTAATGCCACTAAGGCCACTTGTTCTACACCAGCGCCAGGTAAGCCAGGCTGGCTGGAATCTTGTTTGCCCCAGAAACACCTGAGAGGGTTTGGATGTGATCCAAAGGTAAACAGGTAAATTTCCATGTCAGCTCACTCACGCATTTTCAGAGAACTGGGACTGGTTGTATGTCCTCCAAATATTCTACTCCCTGATGACAGACAGACAGACAGACACACACACACACACACACACACACATTACTTAATTCCAGCACCATTAAAAAAACCAAACAAAACAAAATTACTAAACAGTAGAATAAACAATAACAACAAAAAACAGACCAGAGTTCTCTTTAAAACATCCCATCAGCTTAGAGGCAGAAATGGAAACTGCCGACCAAACCGACAGATGAATACGTACCTTACATACATATAAACTAACCCCAAAACTCCAACCCAAAGAAAACATGGGTCCTGGTGGCAAAGGGGCTCACTCTGCTGCTTTTGTAATTTCTCAGCCTTGCATCTTCAGAAAAAAAAAAAGGCTCACTAGTTCCTTTCTTAGTACCTAACCCATCACCAAGGTTAGGCTCTCCAGGAGAGCTTTGGAGAGTACCCAGCAAGATTTCTTTCGGTCCCCCCCCCCCCACACACACACACACATTTCTACACTAGAAATGCTGAGATTCCCACATTTGGTTGAAGCAACCTCCACCCCACCAAGAGCACACCGGGGCTGTTAACCCACACCCATATGTACTTTGGCACCCCCAGACAGGTTAGCTGTGGTTGCCCTGGGACCCGTCCGCTCTCTGGGGCTGCCAAGGGGATGCCCCCTGCAGCTGAGGCTTTCCCTTTTCATTTTCATCTTTGCAGGGCGAGAGCCCCTGCTGGAGATGGGCAGGGTGAGCTCAGAGCCCCTCACACCTGCTGCCTAGGAGGCTGCGGCGCGGGGCCGCCTCGGGAACTTCGCAGGGATGGGCTAAGCCCCCTGTCCCGCATGGGGCGGGGGGGACTGACGGGAGGGGACCACCGCCCTCACGCACCGCGCCTTCCCTGCGGCTGGTCCCCCACCCGGACTCCGGGCGCGCTGTTCCCATCCACCTCCTCTGGGCGGGCGCCGCAGGAGCCCAACCGACGCCGGCAAAGTTTCCTTGGCCCGCGGGCCCAGGCCCCGAGGTGGGGACGAGGCCGGAGGGGTCACGGGCCACCGGGCCACCTCGCTGCGGCCATCCCCACTCTTCCCGCGCTCGCCCCAAGCGGGCACACTCACCCTCCGCATGCTGCTGGCCTCGTGGGCCGGGCGGGGCGCACGGGGCCGGGCGGGGCTCGCCGGGCGGCGCGGCGACCGGCGACGGGGCTGGCGCTGGCCGGGACCGCGTCTCAAGCCGCGCGCACCCGCTTCTTCTCGCTCTGGCCCTCGCCTCGGCCTGGAGTTGTGCTTCGATCCGGGCGGGAGCCGGCTCCCAGGGCCGCGAGGAGCCGGACGCCCAGCGGGAGAAAGTTCCAGCCGCGCGCGGGGCGGGTGCGGGAGCCGAGAGGGAGAGGGAGTGACAAACGGGGAGCGGGGGCGGCGATGCGCCACCCCCGGAGGACTTTGGTTTGCCCATCCCACGCCAAAGCCACGCGCTTATCAGTTCCTACTCTAGAGGTTCCGTGTTTGGGGAGTCCTGGGCGTTCACCGGCCTATAGTTGGGGGGGGCAGTATTCGCGGAGGGGTAAAAGCTGAATAGGAAACGCGGGGTCACATCAGGGCTGGGGGAGACGGCCACCGCCTGCAGCTTAGTCGGCCTGGTCCCCGCCTGGCAAAGCTGCTCAGCAGGGGGCAGCCCCTACCCCCGACCCCGGCCTGCAAAAGCCACAGGTCTACCTGCCGGCCAAGCTGTCTCCCAACGCACAACCTCCGCGAGCTTCTCCACCCCTCCCCCACTCCTCTAACCCGCTCTGGAAGATCATCGTCAAATGCTAATTTGGGGTGTGAGGGGGAGAGCGCATAGTTCCCCAACCCTAAAGTAGATCCAGGATGCGACTGTGCCGGACGGAGGGCAGGATGGACCCCGGCCTTTCTTCTGCTTTGACTGCTAGCAAAGTAAAGCAAACAGTGCAGAATCCAAGGCCGCTCGAATCCCGCAGCGAACAAATACGCCTTGTTTGCCGAACGACCCTTTGAAAAGCTTGCAAAGAAACGCACGTGTTGGCAGAGCCTGCCGTGGCAGGTAAACAGGGGGGCAGAGGCAGGGGCGCGAAGGCTCGCGGCGGGTAAACATCCTGATGAATGTTGCCGCCTTCACGCTGCCTGGATGCCGCGTATTCTGGCAGATCACCACTCATCACTGCTGTCAAAGAAGTGCCGCTATAATTTTCTAGCGTCGATAGACTGTCAGCTGCAAAGAGACCATAATATCACACAGACTAAGTACCCTGGTAATCTAATGAATAAAACCATTTTGTCTGGTTCTCTCTCTGGTATTTATCAGCAAAGATAAGGGAGGACTGACGGATGTCTGGTGAGAGGATGAAGAAAGGAAATTAATGAAGCCTGCTACTTCCCTTTTTACTTTATTTTATGATCTGCCTACAGTGGGTGTTTTTCCCCCTTGATCTGAATTTCATCAGAGTGTTCTTTGATGTTTTTGCCTTTGGGGAAATAATAACAATTTTAGTAAGTGTGCTTACTTTATAAACTATGTGCTTTATCTTTTATCGTTTGTAATCCACAGCCCTATTAGCTATGATTTTATGGCTTTATACTCAAAGAAGGTAGATAATTTACCCCAAGTCACGCAGCCTGTTGATGGCACGGACAGGATTTTAACTGAGCCTGCTCACTCACTCCCAGGCAGACCCCTCCCTTCTGTGCTCTGCCTCATGCTAAGGGTGCCTTGGTGGGAAGGAGTAAGTGACAATAGACGTGAGCTCTTGTCTTGGTCTGTTTGGCCACTCACATCTCCATAGCTTGGTTTCTGCATCTATTAAATAAAAACTTGGCCCAAATAAATGTCCAAAAAAAAGTTCACGGCTTCCCGATTAGCACTCCACAGTTGTAACCTGGAGCTAAAATAGTGATGTCATTGGTTTGCATGTCATTCTACAGCCTCTTTTTTGTAAGCTACACTTGTCTGTGTAGTCCTGTGGTTCCGGCAATGTGAGCCACCCAATGCGGCTGCTGGAAACCGAACTGGTCCTCTGGAATTACGGCAGTGAGCCTCTTGCTTGAAAAGCTTTCACTGCTTTCTACAGCACTAGTTCCCTTCTCTTCCTAAACAGAGTTCACCACTTTGAGAATTTGATCCTTAATCCAATTCATAATATTTCTGGCACAAGAAATAAGACCCCTCGTGTGCAGGAGCTAATCAGTTTTAGCTAAACAATTGTTTTGGCAATCTTCAGCCATTCGTTATGTGAATAATTTTTTTAAGTTTTAAGTTTGCATACAAGGTATAGGTCTCATTATAGCATTTTCCTACATGAACATCAGCGCACTTTGTTTTTATTCGCCTTCCTCCTCCAGTATCCTCTTCTCTCATTTTGCTGGTTCTCTTCTTTCAGGTCAAATAGTTCTCCCCTTCTGCTTTCCCACCACATGTAATCCACAACCCTTCCTCCCCCTCCTTTCTGGAAGTCTGGTTTCCTCCCTCACAGTCTCTTTTCTACTTTTATACACACACACACACACACACACACACACACACACACACACTCATACATGCTTTATTTACCCAAGTCCACATAGGAGAGAAAAATGTGATTATTTATCTTTCTGAATATTCTATTTAGTTTGATATCATGATTCCACCTATATCCACTTTGCTTATTTTATTTTGAGACAGGCTCCCACTGTAGCACGGGCTGGCCTGGGACTCGTTATGTAGGCCAGGCTGGCCTTGCACTCCCAGATAAATATCCACCTCCCTCTGCCTCCGGGTGCTGGGGTTAAAGGAGTATGGCACCACTTTCAGCTCATTTTTCTTTATGGCTAAATAAAATTCCATGTGGCATCCGTACTTCATTTCCTTGGTCCTTTTGTGTGTTGATGGGCATCTAGGCTTATTCCATTTCTTCTCTATTGTGAATCGTGCAGCAATAAACATGAATGTACAAAAGTCTCTGTAGTATGTTGACACGGAGTCCTGACACTGTATTCCCAAGAGTGGGAATACACTCCGTTAGCTCTGCCCTAAATTTAGAGGCACCTCCCCACTGGCTTCCATGGTGGCTGTTCATATTCCAGCCATCAGTGAAGAAGAGTTCCTCTTCCTGATGTCTTCTCCAACACTTGCCATTTGTTTTCCAGTGCTGACCATTCTGATGGGGGTGAGACAGAATCTCAAAGCAATTTAAGCAAGCGTTTCCCTGATGGCTGGTGATTTTGAATGCTTTCTCAAATTTTTATTGTAAGTTTCTTCTTTGGAGAAATGTCTGCTGGGTTTGTTAATCTAATCGCTGACTGGGTGATTTCTGATGTTTGATTTTTGAAGTTCTTTATGTGTTCTAAGTATTAACCTCAAATCTGATGTATAGCTGACAAAGATTGCTTCCCCCATTCTATAGGCTGTCACTTCACTCTGGTGATTGTTTCCTTTGTTATGCTGAAAAATTGTTAGTTTCCTATAATCTTATTTGTGAATTTTTGAGACGGTTTCTGGAGCTCTCGGAGCCCTCTTTAGAATGTTCTTGACTCTATCTGTATCTTCAGATGTTTCCTTTATGTTCCTCTCTGGCAGTTTCCAGGTCTCAAGTGTCACATTAAGATCTTTATTAGTTCTTTTTCTACTGCTGTAATAAAATGCTGTAGCCAAGACGACTCATAGGAAAGGAACTTTAGCTTAGTGTATGGTTCCAGATGGCTGGAGTCCACGATGGTGAGGCAGAGGCAGCAGGAGGCAGGCACGGTGGCTCCAGCAGAAGCTGAGGGCTCATAAATCAGAGAGAACTAGAAGTGGCCGAATCTTTAAGCGCTGCTGTCAATGACATTTCCTCCGCCACACCTCCTAAATCACCAACTGAGAATGAGTGTTCAAGCGAGACAACTCTTTCAAGCAATTGCAAGGTCTCTGGCCCATTGGGAATGATTCTTTGTAGGATAAACATCCAGTTTTCCTAGCACTGTTGTTAGAGGCCATCGCTGGTGCAGTGTTTATTTTTGACACATTTGTAAACAGGTGACCGAGCCTCTGTGTATTTGTTTCTAGGTCCTCCATCCCATTAGTGTACACGCTTTGTGTGTCAGCACCGTGGTTGTTGTTACTACGGCTCTGCAGTATAGTTTGAGGCTATTTGGGGGAGAAAACAGTCTACTTTTTCTGAAAAGTAAATATGAGCAAATTGCCATGATTGTGTGTGTATGAAAATGTCATAATGGAGTCAATTATTCTGTACAACCAACTAGAAAAAAAAACTAATTAGTAAAGTAATGAAACTAGATTGAGTCAGCATTTCCTTCGCTGAAACACTGTGGAGCAGAGGCCTCTGAGTCCTGTGTTCCCAGGGTCCTGAGTGTTTCCCTGACAGAGTCAGCTCTGTGTCAGACTGTCATATCCCTGTTGCCCTGAAAACCATCTAACACTAGAGAACAGTATGTTTTACCTTTTGCTTGCTTCTCTTATTTGTATAACACTGGACACAAACAGTAGCAGACATTTCTCACCATCTTCAGGCTGAAGCCACAAACCTCCATCTTCAACACCATAAGAAGTGTACTAGCTGTGAGAGGTCAGCCTAACTTCTTTCATTGGTTATTTATGTGGAAAGGGATCTGATCTAAAAACTTAGCAAACCGCAACCAGTTTACATTCTCACATGAGGAATAAAAGGCGAAGAGTTGTTCTGCTGTTTATGTATAAGGAATTAGCCAGTGTGTGAGACCGGAGAGTTGGCTCAGCCGTTCAGAGCATTGCTGCTCTCGCAAAGAACTGGAGTTCATTTTCAGTGCCACCCTAGGAAGCTTACAACCTCCTGAGACTCCAGATCAGCAGATCCTGTGCTCTTTACTGGCCTCCACCATCAACATGCACGCACATGCACATATCCACACATAGACACACATGCATACACACAATTAAACCTCAAAATCTTAAAGAAATTAGTCAATATGAGCATACTTTCACTCCAGCTACCATCCTTCATTTAGAAGCCCATTAGTAATGAAATATTGATTCTTTCTACCATGCTTTTCAACAACTTGAGTCGTTGATAAGGACATTGGGGTAAAAAAGTACAACCTTAGCATTTAGGAGACTGAGGCAGGAGGACTGAGTTTTAGACTATCCTGAGCTACAAAATAAAATCTCTTCCAACCCTTCTCATCTTTGTTTTGTTTTGTTTTGTTGAGATAGTGTTTCTCTGTGTAGCCTTGGCTCTTGTGGACTTTGTAGATCAGACTGGCCTTGAACACACAGAGATCCACCTGCCTCTGCCTCCCAAGTGCTGGGAGTACAGGTATGTGCCACTGCACCCAGCCATTGAGATGTATCTTTTAAAATTCTTTATTAATTATACTTTATTCACTTTATATCCCCCCTGTGGTTCCCCCCCTCCTCCGGTCCCAATCCCTCCCTTCCTCCACTCTCTGCA